TAGTTTCCAGGTGTTATGCTTGCGTGGTAGTGGACAGTCTTTGACTAGGATCCAATAGTTATCCAGTACTCCTGGGTTTTCAATGCTTCTCTAACTGAAGTCCCTTCATGATTTAACTTAATATTATTTTATTTCACTTTGATAATGAAGTGTACAATCAGATACAACTAGATTTATTGGATATTTACAAATCCCCCTGAGGATAATCATTCAGGATATCTATGAGATAATATACTTCAACAAAACACTAAACTGAATATTGGATATTCCTGAATTTAAGGATTTATTGATTCCACAACAAGTAAAAGCAACTAGTAGTCATTGGACCTCTTCCCATGGTACGCAAATTTCTGCTGGTTTTAAGCAGGTTTTTATTGCTTCTAATGTTTAAAGTTCTGAATATCTGGAGTCCTTTGGCAGTCTATTTGAATTCTCCAAGAATGGTGTAATTGTCTCTTGACGATTCAGATTGTGATTGGCTGTTAATCTGCATTAGTATCAATTGTTTTATTGACTTGGAGTGCAAACTTCTTTGTCATGTGGCTTATTCTTCATTATTTTGATGAATTCGGTCTGTTGATGACATATTCATCTAAGCACTAGGCAATTAGGGATTCCTTGGAATGTTTTGTGTCTTGTTGGTCTAAGATTTGTGGATTTTCCCTGTCGGAGCGGCATCCGAAGTCATTAGCATGCATTGGCATGGGAGAATGTATATAACATGAACCTTCTTACAACTAGTTTATGTTCGTGGATTTAAAGATAAAGACATACAGTGTTTTTCACGCTTGTCACAGTTTATCTTGGAGATAGATGACTTTGGTTTCGTCTTCTTTTGTTGTTACCTTTTGACTGGTATAGCATAGATTGAAGTGATCTTATTGGTTTTTGTGGGTGACTTAATAATCTAAATAGTCCTACAGTGGTTTCAGAGATGTTCGTCATATCATTACTATTATTATCTCCTTATGCTCTGGGTGTAATATAGGGCTTCAACAGCACATCATCATTTCAATCTGTTCTCTGAAATTCTTTTTCAGCTGACTTCACAACTACTCACAGACTTTTGCTTCCTGCTCACATGACTTTCTCCATGTTCTACTGGGATTTCCCATCTCGCTGTTAACTATTTGAGTTCCACATGAAGGCCTGACGGGCTTTGTCACTCAAAGTTCTGCTTAGTGTGTGTGTGTGTCCACTCCATCTTCTTGGTTGGCTCGTTCCCATGTACGATAAGGTCGTTCATAACCTTCCTCAATGAAAACTTCCTTCTTACTTACTAACTGATTGAGCGACTGGTTTCAACATAGAACTTTGCAGAGATGTGCAGTAGTTCAAGCTGCCACCCTCCCTAATTGTAGTACACAAAATAAGCGAAGAAAGTAAAAGGAGATTCAAACACAAATAATAAACAGAGATGTGAGGCAAAAAGAATAATAATATGGAAGAACAATAGAGTTTTATTGGATATGACAAATCATTCAAAAAGAGTGGATGCATCTGTACCATCATCTAGAACGAAAATTTTTAGCCATATCACCGATTGTCTCTAGCCACTGGTTTCTACCTCCACAGGGACCACAGTCAGTCAGCCACGCAGTCTGCACCTCCCTATGTGTCTGACTGGCTGGCTTAAACTAACTGTTATGGATTTCGATGACTGATTCCATGTTTTGGTGTTACCGCCACTAACTAACTCCTTTCCATCCTGATCCTACATCAGCAGCTAACATTGTCCGTCGTCAAGGAAGGCGTTTGCTAGTCATGCATGCGTAACATGCATGCTCTAACCGTCCCATTCGATGTAACCGCTTCACAACTCCGCTGACTACACTCCCCTGCTTACCTAGCTTTCAACAAAAGACTAACCTCAACATTATTGACTATATTATACCATCTAAAGCGGTAGATAGAAGGCGGTCACTTACTGTCAAAGACAGATAGCCTCAAGAAGGGTTTGGTTGGAAGACAGCTAGAGGCGGCACCAATACATACTGCCTTTAGCTGTTGCCACTGACAGTGGTGTATAGGATAAGGACCTCAAAATGATGAGACCAAATTTTCACTGTTTCTTGACAACTTACCTGAATATCTTCAAAAGGGTTCAAAGGTTTTTTTTACTTAGTATCACCTTTAAAATCCCTAAAAGCTTCTCTAGTCTCTAGTTAATAGTCTTTCCATTTATATCAGATTTCTTTTTCTGCCAACTACACATTTGTCTGTATACTTGGAAATGTAGTGGATTAATTCGTTAGTGCATTATATATGTAAACTTCTGCTTTGATTTATTGCTCAGTTATCTTTGTCAGGGTATTCTTGACTCTTTGGTTTCTCAAATAAATATTCCTTCTTTTCATTAGACAATGTGTTTCATGCAGCTGTTTCTTTCACTAGTTACTAGTGTCCTACAGGAGGTTAATTGCGAACTGGAATAAGTCTTCAGTTGTCACGTCTGTGACTGCAGTACTAGGTGACAATGCAGGTTAGAATCTTAAAAAGGACATAAGTTTCTTTAGGAATACTGTTACGCCTTGGTGAGTGGTGAGTGCCAACAAGCACAAAATCTAGGTCAAGTAAGGCTTCCTGTGGCCGATTGCATTCAACCATCTAATGTCATCGAATCCACTTTCTTTCTTTTTTTAAAAAAAACTATGATGAATATATGAAGATTGGATTAAATTTGCAATTTGCATTATATACATTTCTAGGGGACAATTCACCACCAAAGCTTTTCAGATCAAAATATATGGTGTGTTTCAAACCATAAATGTTAAACTAGAAAGCAAATATATTTGCATGAAACTATACACTAATGATTGATCGACAGTGAGTAGTTGGGTAACACTTATACCAATTAGTAGTGCTTACTAGCCAGGTTGAAGTGATTTAAACACCAAATGTTAATTTTGCTCCTTTGCAGCCAAGCTCATCAATGGTGTACCCGGGTTTTTAGCTCAGCTCATAGATCTGAATCAATTCGCTTGGATGGTTGGGAATTTTCAAAACAAATAAGATTTCTCTATTGACATATGTGTAAAACTTGGCCACTGTGGCAGTAAGTAATTCCATATTAGTTTGTTTATTAGATGTATCACACAGTGAAACAATGTGTATTATTATTTACTGGTTGACAAGGTTCCGAACACAATTTAATATTGTTCACAATCATATCAATTATAATCACACGACTTTGAAACTTCAGTTTTGTAGTTTTCTTTGTCCTCTCCTATTTGTCGTCGTAGGCGTGGTAGCAGAACTTTCCAGATGTCTGGGCGGAGAGGTGTTGAATCATTTCTATTACACGTGATTTCAGCAGCTATGCCTAACTTCCAAATTATTTAAATTCCAGGAGAAAATATACGAACAAACTAAGGAGTTGTCATGGGATCACCAATATCCCCGGTTGTGGTAGATATATTCATGGATAGGTGGGAAAACATAGCGATCGAAACGTTCACCTCCACCCCAAAAGTATGGTAGAGGTATGTAGTTGACACACTCACTGTACTCAGATTATAGGATATAAATAGACCTTTCGAATACATTAACTCGAAGGTGGAAGCAATTCAATTCACCTATGAATTAGGAAGTCAGGAAGAGGAACTGCCAAAGTTGGATTGTAGCGTAAAAAGGAAAGAAGATGGGAAGTTAAACACTAGTGTTTACAAGAAATCCACAGATTCAAACAGATATTTGGACTTCCTATCATCCCATCCTATGACAGTAAAAATAGGACTGGTGAAATGTTTGAATGATAGAGCACAAAAACTAAGTAGTACCAAGGAAAATCTAAGACAGGAAGTGATACACATAAAACAAGCTGTGAAACTTAATAATTACCCCTACAAATTAGAGAGAAAATATGTAGGGAAATGTAAAAATAAAATAAATAATCATAGTAGTGATACTGATAATAATAATAGTAGTAATATTAATGATGACATGCATGTCAAACATGCGCAGAGTAATGACAACACCAACAATAAGGAGTCTAAATCATCAGTAGTAATTCCACACAAGGAAGGAACCTCGGAAACCTTACTCAGAATTCGTAACAAGGCAAGGAGTAAAAGTGGCTGGCATTCAAACTCACAAACTCAATTAGAAACAAGCTTTGTCGGTTAAAGGATCCCGTGGAGTCTTTGAAACAAAACGATTTAGTTAATCTAATACCCCGCCTACAATCATTGTCAGCTCAAATACATTGGTAAAACTAGTAGAACAGAGGCAGTCAGACTAGCCAGGCAGCATGAAAACCTAGCATCAAAATCTGGATTGGTTGACTCAAATAAGATAAGAAATCTGGAGAATAGTTCAGCTGTAGATGGCACTATATGCAGTTACACAACCATACAATAGGCTGGATGGGATAGGATGACAGTTTTAAAATCCATTAAAATATGTTTGGGGGGGGGGAGAGATTGATAGAAATGCAATCTTTGTTCATTGGATCAACTGAATGAAAATACGTGTAGTTGGAATGATCCAACACCTGTCCACCCTGACATCTGGAAAGTTCTATTAACACGCCTACGGCGACAAATAGGAGAGAATAAAGAAAACAACTATCAAACTCAAGTTTCGAAGTTGTGTGATTATAACTGATATGATTGTGAGCAATATTAAATTGTGTTCGAAACCTTGTCATCCAGTAAATAATAATACACACCTTTTCACTGTGTGGTATAACTAATAAACAAACAAATATGGAAGATTTCTCTGTGATGATCTGGATGGCTTCACTACTAAGCATAGAGATCAGTTACGGATGTCAGTCAGTGATACAAATGTGTTAGGAGCCTCCTAAACTTCCAGTTTTTAAAATTGTATTTTGAATAACCCTTTCACATATTTTTTCATGTGACTGTGGTTTGGATAAGATGTTATTTTTAAGTATAATTTCACAATCGCTTTCATTTACTTCGCATCCTTAGATAACAAAACCCAAATAATGATAATCATATAGGGTTTACAACAACGAAAAGAAAAGCAAACATTACCAGCAACTTTGTAGTCTGTTTGACCGATTATTAATGCCAAATTCTGTCCACATTTAATATCTGCAACCTGTTGTAGTTGACGCTGTTGTCGAAGAAATTCAGAATGTTGTAGGGCGGATTTCATCAATTTTCTGCTTAATTTTAGTGGAGGACAGTTGTGCAGACTTCTTAATCTAACATGAAATTTTAAGGAAAACGTAGACTGCAGATAAATACCACACATAAAGTTGAAAAATAATTAAACAGAAATGAAGATGAAACTTGTCTAACTATTTCAATCTATAAATAATCGATTGATTTCATGATTGATTCAATTTATAGATGACGACTATATCACGTTGAAAAAATTAGTCACTATCCGGATCCAGCTGGTAAGTGCATGATAGACAAGTGGGGAATTCTAGACACTGCTGGCTCTTTGCTTCAATGCTTCAGTGGACGAATACTCATCAGCCATCTGGATGTTCCGGGTTCAACTCCTGAGCGACTTACTATTAAACCTGTTATGTACTGGTCGAGAATTTAATAGTCCTGACGCAAGAAAGACGGAAATCAGAAGACCACTAGGTTTGCAATGATACTTCTATTTTCCAAACACAAGGAGAATCAATGTCACACAAGTGTGTGAGAGCAAAATATATGAATGTCCGAACAAGTGTGTGAGCGAATATTCAAAATGAACAAATCAATAGACAGGCTTAACATGATTGGCTAATTATAATGGAATATCGATCCATGTATATATAGCAAAATATACCCGACTGTCAAACAAACACACATATTATATAGATACATATCAAAACCTTACCTAGTTAACCAGCTGTTAGTAATTCTGGAAATACGGAGGATTTAGCATGACACTAGTAACTTGATATCGTAAAAAATAATACCTACAGTATTGAAATCTCAGAGCCTAAAGCCCTAAAAAATTTAAATGATGAACTACTAGAATCAAATCTGTACCAGACCACTGTTCCTCGGTATCGATGTCTGGGAATGTGATTGAAAGTTAATTGGTGTATGGTAACTAGCGGTGGAATCCATGATGCGTATTTCGTCCTTTTTTCGGACTTATCAGCTGGATGTACTTGCATTCCCGTGCTAGTCAACATCCATCAATGAACTTCTAGTTATATGCCCAGATATCGTCGAAGCATCTGGACAAGAAGCCAACACATCAGTCTGACACCAAACACTTCGGTTTAGTCAATCGATGGGAAAATATTAAATTAAATTAATAATATGACCCGATGCACAAGAGGTGGCCAGCTGTCGTGGGCCAAATTGTCTAGTGGATAACGCTTCTACGATTGAAAACTATAGACACTGGGTTTGTAACCTTGGCAAATATCAATAGTAATAGTTATAATAATAATAGTGTTGAAGTGAGTTAAGATAGTCTTACTGATAAAGCACAGTTTTAAATGAATTAAGAATCATAATAGTGATGATAATAAAAATAACAATAATAGTAAGAAGAAGAGGTAGAATAATAGTAATAACAAGTAGAGAATAATAAGTAAAACGTATTACCATGGTAGATTCAGAGTCACTACCATCTCCTTTTGTATATAGAGAGCTGGTTTATAAATTCGAATTGCACAAGCCTCTGCAACTGCAAGCATCTTCTTGTTTCTTTGTTTACTGACAACGGTGAATGACTTGACTGCGTCTTACTATTATTGTTATTATTATTATCATTATTATTATTCTTGATTGAGCTAAAACTGTGCTTTATCAGTAAGACTATCTTAACTCACTTCAACACTATTATTATTATTATAAGTATTACTATTGATATGTGCGTCTGTGGTATAGCGGTTAGCACGCTCGCCGACCATGCATATGGTCCGGGGTTCGATCCCCGGCCGGCGCACTCCTTTACCTCACTGAGCCAGAAATAATGCTGGTAAAGAGGAAAGGTTGGGCATGAGGCTAGCAACCCCATCCTGTAAAAAATTAAACACTGCTACAGAAACTTCAAGCCACTAGCTTGGAGCCCTATGTTCCACTGGGAACGTGAAGGAAAAATTATTTATTATTTATTATTATTACTATTGATATTAGTTTGTTTGCAATTCTCGTTATATTCCCTAATGACTAATTGTTTATCTAAGTGATGTAATTGAAGCGTAATGCAATTTGTCTTAATTTTGATTTCTCATACTCTCTCTCTCCCCTTAGCAAATATAGTGGCTTAAATCTAAAATATCCTTAACTACTAATGTTCAATACCAATTCAAAATGATACCGTTTTCAAGATATAAAGTTATCCATAGGTTCAAATGAACAAAAGCTGCCTCAAACTACGGTGTACCGAATTAAGATCGAAGTAGTTCAGTGTAGGAATTTAGGAGTCAATTGGCAGAAGTCATTATTTAAAATAGGTTTCACAGATGTTAGTCTTTATCTGCAAGTGTGTGAAATTACATTTTAATTAAAGATCTTAACTGGAATCACCTCATAAACCTTTACGCTAGACTATTCTAGTCAAGGCGGATGATATACAATATCAGCTGCTACAAAGTCCTAAGTGCTACTTTGTATATTTATATGCCAAGTGGAAACTTCTGCTCACTAGTCTCATATAGTCCAGTTTTCACTGCTGACTGATTTATACTAGCTAAGTTTGTCAAGTGGCTGTCATACTTAGGGATTCGACATAACAGCATACTTAGGTGGAGACAGTAAAAAGCAAGCCTTGTAATTAGGTTTTATGTAATACATTTTCGCCATATCACCTCAAAGATTAAAAATCGTCTGATATCCTGTCCATATTTCGCAAACAACTAAAATGGAGACAAAATCTGACTAAATACTTAACCATTCGGATTCGGCGTTTCTGAAGTCCTGGCGCCCTGGAAGTAGAACTGGATAATCTGAAAGAAATCTTCATGCAAAATGGATACCCACTAAGATTTATTGACAAGAATATCAGACCAAAAGTCCTGGTAGATTTAGCTTACAATTTCCTCAAGAGAGGAAACTCAGTGACTTTGAGAACAACATTCTTCGCAACAACGCAAAGAGAAGTGGTCACCAGTCACCCATCGGTCTACAGAAGCCTTAAAGACAAGATCTTGCATCTGAACGCTTCTGTGTGCATATATCTGTTCAACTGTTGTTGCATAGCCATGTACATTGATCATTCGACGCGTATCCTCTCCAAAGGAGTTCAGAGGCACTATCTCGCAAAAAGTTAGTTGTGGCTCTATAAGAAGTGCAATAATTGAACACTTTGTCAACACTGGTCATTCCAACTCAACAAACGCCTCCTCTTTCAGATTGATCTACAAAGTGAAGGACAACCTACCAAAAGCAATACACTTTCGTCTCCTTTGTATTAATGAAGTCGCAGTCATTCAGGTGGAGAAATCAGAGACCACGCATACACAAGAAAATCATCCATCCACCCACTTCTACTATCATGGTAACAACTATGTTGATTTCTACTAACTTGATTCTTGTGTGCTAGTATTTCTCTAACTCCTTATAACTTTTTTTTCTCTAGAACTCTTACATAATTCCATATTTTCCTTTGTTTAACTCATTAAACTATTCATCTTATTACGTGACTACAATACACTTATTCAGCTTCGCCTATTTACTGGCTAACATTAACACAATTATGTCTTTGACAACTTATCACCACACTGTCCTCTTACTAATCTTCACGATCCACCCACCCCTAGTTACAGTTTGATTATTCATCATATTTTTTGAGATATTTTGATGACGTAAACAAGAACCCTAACTAATTTTTATTCTTATTGGGCAAACCTAATGCTCACACATATAAAAAGAAATAAGTATACAGATAAATACGATTGCACATCTAAGTGTGAATAAATTGATCGCCAAAAAGAGACCCTTCGCTGAACACTACGTGTTTTGTTTTCGTAGAAGTACAGCGGTAGAGTACTTGCCGACCAAGCAGGTGGCTCGGAGTTCAACTTCCGGCCATTGACGCACAAGTTTACCTCACTAGGCCAGTAATAAGATTGGTAAGGATGGAAGGTTGGGCATAAGGCTAGTAACCCAATCCTGTAAAAATCGCCGCTGCTACCGAAACTTCAAGTTGGCTCTAGCTTGGAGCCCCCCTATGTTCCACTTGGAATGCACAGGAATTTCTGTGGAATAACTTTCGAAAAACATTACTATAAAAATGTATTTATTGTCAATAATCAGTCAACTTCTACAGATATAATTTCTTCCGTTTACATAACTTTGTTGAAACAACCCCCACTCCATATTATTTAATTGATTTTCAACCTCAGGCGCACAATAGTCTAATTCCGCGTGAACTATGAAGACATTCATGATACTATAGTCAGCCAATGGTCCTAGAGAATGGATGGATTTAATATGAATAGCGTGAGAAAACGACCAGATACCTTTGAAAAATCAACAATAAGTCAAGTTTGAGTAAAGTTCTTGGGTAATTTACCATCAAATACATTTTGCGTTATATAACAAGAGGAGTTTTACAAGCGTTAACACTTTGTATGTGGATATTGATTCGTATCGTTGACTGAACGATAACACTTTAGTTTAAATTGAACAAATACTTCTGGTTCCATAATAGTTAGTTTATTAGATGTATCACACAGTGAAACTTGAGTTTGATAGTTGTTTTCCTTGTTCTCTCCTATGTGTTTTTGTTGAGGTAGTAGAACTTTCCAGGTGTTTTAATGAACAGGTATCGAATCATTCTTATCACACGTATTTTCATTCAGTCTCTCTCCACCCAGCTGTTACTGTCATCCTATCCCATCCAGCCTATTGTATGGTTGTGTGTAATTGCATGTAGTGCCATCTACGGCTGGACTATTCTCCAGATTTCTTATCTTATTCGAGTCAACCAATCTAGATTTTAATGCTAGGTTCGTATTTTCGGCTAATCTGACTGCCCCTGTTCTACTAGTTTTACCAATGAATTTCACCTGACAATGATTGCAGGCGGGGTATTAGATAAACTAAATTGTTTGATTCATTGGCTCCACAGGATTCTTTTTTTGCATAAGTTGCTCGATTTCATATCGGATATGTTGCAACGTTTTAACATTTCTGTGGATCTCTTCTTTTATGCATAATTTTTGTAGACTTTCTATTCTGCTTCTAACTCTGACCGTCGGAACTTTACCCGGTAGACGTAGGTATTTATGAATGATTT